CAGTATGGGACTCTGTTCTGAAAATGGCTGCCGGTCAATGAGTTAATAACACGGTTTGGGCTGGTTTGTAGCTTGGCTCAAAAAAGGTAAAAAAACAAAGACAAACCTCTGAAGAACACGGGGAGTTGGAAGACCTCTCTCTGGGGCATTCTGAGAGGAAAAGCAAAGGATCAGAACCAGAAAAAGCTCATTTCCGAGTCAGTTTTTTGGACATATGAGGAGGGCATTTGCTTTGGCCTGTATGGCTAATGTCTCCTATCCTAACTCCTCCTCCAGACCTTTGGACCCTAATAAAGTAAAGTAAATATTGCACATTTTATGGTAAAAACTGTAAATAATGCACATTGTAGTGTAAAAAAAAAACATACATGTAGCACATTTTAGGGGAAAAAATGTCAATTTTGAATGTATTATGGTTAAAAGAAGTTAATCTAGCACATTGCAGGGTGTAATATTGCACATTAATGATAAAAATGTTTAAATATCAAACGTGGCTGGGAGTTTTTCCCTCCCTGTGTCGCCTAGTGCTTGCTCATGGTGGGAATTGTTGGGTTTCTGTAATTAACTTCAGAGTAGGGTCTGACCTGCTCTGTTTGGAAAGCGCTGTGAGACAACTGTTGTTGTGATGTGGAGCTATAGAAATAACATTTAAATTAATTTTATGACAGTTTTTCCTTCCCTGTGTCGCCTAGTGCAGTGTTTTTCAACCACTGTGCCTCGGTACACTAGTGTGCCGTTAGTGATGGTCAGGTGTGCCGTAGAAAATCATCCTATTTCACCTAATTGGTCTAAAAAAATTTTTTTGATAAGGAATTAATTATCTGCCAATAATATGCCATTTTTAAGTTTCTGTGCTGTTCTAGTGACTGGTGGAGTAATCATGTAATAATCTCTTATGACTAGATTTTGTATATAATTTTGTATAGTGGACATGTTAAGTGCAATTTGAAAGAAGAAATATAAAATATGATAAAAATACATTTTTGTGTTTATTTGATTCCTATTCAAGACACTTAAGATAAGATAAGAATAAGATAAGAATAACTATAGTGTTACTATAGGCGGCTACAGATTTGTTTGACATTTTTGGTTGGTGGTGTGCCTCGTGATTTTTTCAATGAAAAAATGTACCTTGGGTCAAAAAAGGTTGAAAAACACTGGCCTAGTGCTTGCTCATGGTGGGAATTGTTGGGTTTCTGTAATTAACTGACCTGCTCTGTTTGGAAAGCTCTGTAAGATAACTGTTGTTGTGATGTGGCGCTATATAAATAAAATTGAATTGAATTGAATTTTATGACACAGTTTTTCCTTGCCTGTGTCGCCTAGTGCTTGCTCATGGTGGGAATTGTTGGGTTTCTGTAGTTAACTTCAGAGTAGAGTCTGACCTGCTCTGTTTGGAAAGCTGTGAGACAACTGTTGTTGTGATGTGGGGCTATATAAATAAAATTGAATTGAATTGAATTGAATTTTATGACAGTTTTTCCCTCCCTGTGTCGCCTAGTGCTTGCTCATGGTGGAAATTGTTGGTTTTCTGTAATTAACTTTAGTAGGGTGTGACCTGCTCTGTTTGGAAAGCCTTGTGAGAAAATAACTGTTGTTGTGATGTCGCGCTATATAAATAAAATTGAAATGAATTTTATGACAGTTTTTCCCTCCCTCTGTCGCCTAATGCTTGCTCATGGTGGGAATTGTTGGGTTTCTGTAGTTAACTTCAGAGTAGGGTCTGACCTGCTCTGTTTGGAAAGCTCTGTGAGACAACTGTTGTTGTGATGTGGCGCTATATAAATAAAATTGAATTGAATTTTATGACACAGTTTTTCCCTCCCTCTGTCGCCTAGTGCTTGCTCATGGTGGGAATTGTTGGGTTTCTGTAATTAACTGACCTGCTCTATTTGGAAAGCTCTGTGAGATAACTGTTGTTGTGATGTGGCGCTATATAAATAAAATTGAAATGAATTTTATGACAGTTTTTCCCTCCCTCTGTCACCTAGTGCTTGCTCATGGTGGGAATTGTTGGGTTTCTGT